GAATTCCTGACTCCTCTCTGAATCCGCCAGTCCCCTGCTCTGTTCTCCAGCCGGTGTGCTCCAGGAAGGGCTCCTAGAGCAGCAGGGAGCACTTCAGGGAGCACGGCAGGGCCGCCTGCAGCAGGGAGCACGGCAGGGCCGCCTGCAGCAGGGAGCACAGCGAAGGCCATGGTCACTCCAAACAGTTCCCAGGCCCGACTGACCCCTTCCAGGACACCACCTGGGACATGGCGCTGCCACTGTGCCCCTTTTTTGTTTTTTCAAGACAGGGTTTCTCCGTGTTACAGCTCTGGCTGTCCTGGAACTCATGCTGTAAACCAGGCTGGCCTCAAACTCACAGAGATCCTCCTGCCTCTGCTGAGATTAAAGGCATTCACCACTACCGCCGGGCTAACAGTAGCAAAATTAAAGTTATGATGTAGCAATGAAAATAATTTTATGGTTGGGGGTCACCACAACATGAGGAACTATTAAACAGTCAAAGCTAACTGGGAAGGTTGAGAACCACTGCTCTATACAGATAGTGTGCCCGCGGTCTTTCACCAGCTCAGTATAGGCAGACAAGTGAGATCTATGGGAGACCAAAGTACAACAGAACCCAGGACACCACCTCAATACGTTCCTCCCCCCCCCCCCCTCTCTCTCTCTGACAGAGAGACATTGGGGATCAAACCCAGGGAAGTACCTCAGCCCTCTTTTAAGCATTTTAATGCAAATGATATTTTAGAGCATAGCTGCCCTTCAAGGTATTCATAATTTCCTAAACAATGTGTAAAATCATATGTGCCACCTGTTCTTGAGTCTACAGTCTGGATGGAGGTAGTCCCTCCAGGGGGTAATATGGCTCCCCAGTCCCTAAAGGACCGGCCCAAGCTGCCTATGCTGCTTTCTCGTAGAATAGGCATTTTTGCGAACTTTTTTCTTCTGATTTTAAAAATTTATTTTATGTGTATGAGTGTTTTGCCTACAGGTCTATCTGCGCACTATTTTGTGCCTGGTGCATCCAAAGGCCAAAAGAGGGTGCTGAATCCCCTTGGAACTGGAGTTCCTACAGATGGTTGTGAGCGGCCGTGTGGGTGTTGGGAGTCAACCCAGGTCCTGAGGAAGAGCAGCCAGTACTCTTAACTGCCGGGCCTTCTCTCCAATTTTGTTCTTTGACAATCTCATACACGTATGTAATGCATTCTGATGACTCTCCCCTCTCCTCACCTCCCTCCCATCCTGTTACCCACCCTCCACCTCCCTCACCCCACCCCAACCCTCCGCTCTTCTTTACCAGTCTCCCAAGATTCACAACTTTTGGTTGGTTTGGGGGTTTTTAGTTTGTTTTGGGGTTTTTCTGTCTTTTGTTTTTTCGAGACAGAGTTTCGCTGTATAGTCCTGGAATCAGCTCTGTAGATTAGACTGGCCTAGAACTCACAGAGATCTGCCTGCCTCTGGCTCCTGAGTGCTGGGATTAAACTGCCCGGCTGATTTTGTTTTGTGACCCATTTAGGTTAACCGGGGCCTTATGTGTGAGCTGAAGGCATTATCTCCCCTCTGTCTCTGTATCACTCAGCAGCAAACCGTTCAGTAGTAAAAGGTAGGGATCCTAAGCCCTCCCTCCAGCCATGCCTGATGGTTGATGGGCCCATTCTTTTTCAGAAGAGGGGAGGGATCTTCTAGAACTAGAGTTACAGAAGGTTGTGAGCCACCATGTGGGTGCTAGAAACAGAATCCTGGTCCTCTGCAAGAACAGGACATGTTCCTAACCATTGAGCCGTCTCTCAAGTTCCCTGAAGGGCCATTCTCTTCCTTTTTTCCCCTTCCTTCTGTTCTTTCTTGAGACAGGGTCTCTTTATGCAGCCCTGGCTTAGAACCCGATATGTCGACCAGGCTGGCCTCAAACCTACAGAGATCTTCCTGCCTCTGTCTCCTGAGTGCTGGGATTAAAGACCTGTGTCACCAAGCCAAGCTGGTTTTTTGTTTTTGTTTTTGTTTTGTTGTTTTGAAACAGGATCTTGCCATGTTGCCCACTCTGATCTGGAACTCAGGGGCTCAGCTGAACCTTCACCCTAGACAACTGGGGCTATAGCCACGCCGAGGTAGGAATCCTTCCGTGTTCCCATTAGAATTTTAGACTAGAATCCTAGAGGGAATGTGACCAGGCCATACATATGTGACTTGGCTGGATAGTGTCACATTCCCCTCCACAGGGCTTGTACGCCTGTGTTCCCTCCAGCAGGTCTTAACAGAGCTTGTGAATGAATGTGCAGCTCACCAACAGGCTGGAGTTAAAATGTTGAGACTTCATCAGTTTTCCTCTCACTGGGACAAGTTGCTCGTTCCTGTGTTCCTTTACCCATCCTCACCCTTCCCGGGACTCCCAAACTACCTATTGACACATTGAAATGTCTATTTGCCGCCTTTTTTTCCCCCCCCTGAGACAGGGTTTTATGTAACCCAGGCTGCCCTCAAATTTAGTATCCAGTCAAGGGTGATTTTGAACTTCTGACCCTCCTGTCTCTACCACCTGATTGCTGGTATTAAAGTCATGTGCCAGCCACCATACCTAGTCTATGCAGTGCTGGGAAGTGACCCCAGAGCCTCATGAGTACTAAGCAAGCAGTCTTCCAAATGAGCCACACACACCCTTTACTGTGCTATCATCTTTATGCTAATTCTCATACACAACTGGGCCTACTTTTGGATTTTTGTTTCTTTAATCTATCATGGATTAGTTCTTCCAAAAACACCCAAGCCCAGCTCTGGACTCTGCTTCTTGAGCACACTGCAGCGGACAATGGGCTGAGCATTAAGCTATACCAGGCCCCAAACTTCAAGTTCTTCCTGGTGACTGACTGTTCTTCCAGTAAGCTTGATAGGAAGGACAGGCAGTTGTGCCCAGAATAGCTAGTAAGCATGCTGTTGACACAGTTCTGGGGGCTGGAGAGGTAGCTCAGTGGTTAGATGCTCTTCTTGCACTTCACTTCCAATGGAGTTGGATTCCCAGCACCCATTGTCTGCCGGCTTAAACTACCTAGAACTCGCCGGGCGGTGGTGGCGCACACCTTTAATCCCAGCACTTGGGAGGTAGAGCCAGGCGGATCTCTGTGAGTTCGAGGCCAGCCTGGGCTACCAAGTGAGTTCCAGGAAAAGCGCAAAGCTACACAGAGAAACCCTGTCTCGAAAAACCAAAAAAAAAAAAAACAAAAAAACAAAAAAAAAAACAAAAAAAAACTACCTAGAACTCCAGTTCCAGGGGATCTGCTATCCTCTTCTGGCCGCCACGGGCATGCATGTGTGTGCGCACACCCTTACACACATATAAAATGCCCCATTTTGGGGCTGGGGTTGTGGCTCACTTACTTGCCTCAAGTGCCCGAGGCCTGGGGTTTGATCCCCAGCGAAGGTGCCCAGTGGGACCGGCTTTTAGAGGGGTGTTGGAAGAGACACCACTGACGCATTTTGAATGGCAGCAAGTAGTGATGTCTTGCTGCTCAAAGGCACTAGCAGTCGTAACAAGCTGTCCCTTTCCTTTTTCTTCACCTCTGCGCCCTCTGGGAATCCTCTCTTCTGGGAAGATCATGAGGATGTCACCTGGTGGTGAACACTTGCCTAGAATGAGACCCCAGGTGTCATCCCAAGAATGGGGGAGGGGAAGGGGTGGCAGGTAGAGCTACTTCAGCAAGTGGAGCCAGGCAGAAGTCAATGGTTAGTACCGAGTGGGGCTCAAGCCCATCTGACAGCCCCAAGCCAGCCTGTGCTCTCTCCTTCATTTAGGAGTCTTCTACCCTAGGTGAGAGGTTTCTATGACGTGACGGAAACACCACCTCTTGGCCTTGCACTGTGATCACGTTTAACTGTGACGGCAGAACTGGTCTGTATCTCAACTGTCCAGACCAATAGCTCCCATGCAATGTGGCTGGCTGGTGACACTAGGAACGTAAATTCAATTTGCTTTGTTTTGAGACAGGGTTCTCTCTGTTCCCCAGGCTGGCTTCAAATGCACAGAGGTTGGGAATACAGACATGAGACATGCCACCCAGTAACTAAAGCTGACTCTTCTGAACAGTGTGGCTTTGGCCACTTCCCTGCCTGGCTCTTCCCTTTCCACTCAGAACCTGAGAGAAGATGCTGCACGTGCAAGCGGCCTAGAGGCCAGGTGAGAAGACAGCAGGCCTGAATAGGGAGCAGTGGGGGGAGCTGCGGGCCGGGTCCTCCTTACAGAATCCCCGTGGGAGCTCTGTGGGAGAAGGCCAGCCCACAGGAGCCCCACTCCCACCCCAGTGGCCATCACAATGGCATTCAGGTTTTCGTCACAATGCCACTGTGCGTCACAATGCCACTGGCAGTGGGGGGCTGGTCTTTTTGTCTGCAGACCTAGTTACAGGCACTCAGCGTCAGAGGACCCTGTTTCCTGGGGACTGGAAAGGGGCCTCAAGATGGAGACCTATAGGAAGAAGTCGAACAGATGTGGGGCTGGACGAGCCCAGTCGCTCTCAGGACCCAGGGTCTGCAGGGACCAGCCGCCCGCCTGCAGGGAACAGGGATTCTCCGTGAGCACTGAGCAGCTGCTGGTCTTCTTCCTGGCTCTCTGGTTCTTCTATTTCTTCTACTTTCAAGACTAATTCTGACAGAGCCTCCTTTCCAGCTGCTCAGGGGGTGGCTGAGGGTCAGAGCCTTGGCCCATAGGGCAGCTCACCTGTTTGCCTTGGGAATGAGGACCCAGAGCCTGCAGCTGCTGTGCGCCTGTCACCTCAAGCTGGCCTGCCTTCTGTTCTCAGAAGACCAGAGTGCCGCATGTCTCCAGCAGGTCCAGCCTTGTACCTCCACTGAGTACATGATCCCATTACCAGGCAAAGGCCAGGACAGCTATGGAAGGCTGCCAGGTGGAGGCACAGTTGTGGCTGAGTCTTCTTGGTCAGTGGAGCGGAGCTCCACATGTTTCCTGAGAAGGTGTTTTAGGACTGGTTACAGGCCCAGTCTCTAATGACAAATAAAATGCCCATGGGGCCAAATAACATATTTCTTTTTATTTTGGTGTCTTTGAGATAAGTGTTTGCTATGTAGCCCAAGCTGGCCTTGAACTCATGGCAGTCTTCCTGATGTTTGGGTTTACAAGCTTGTACTACCCCAGGTTTTCATTCTTGTATTCTAGGGAAGAAAAACAGCTCTGTGGTGCTGGCAAGGGTGGAGAAAAAGAACACTTCCTGGGGGTGGGGGTCAGATCTTGAAGAGAAATGCTTAATCACATTAAAGGGGTGGGGGTGGCTCCCCACTGGACTCAGGGTAAGTCCTGCCCACCCCAGGGGCTCCCAGACCTAGTTTTCCAGCAGAACAGGACAAGGACCTCTGGTGGAACTGTGGCAGAGGAGTAGCAGCTTGGGGGCAAAGAGAGCTCCCAGCACTCACAGTGAGCTGTAAAGGCCGAGAGGGAAGTGGGTTACTCTGGAGACCATGACAGGTTGTGGGAAGGTACTCTGTACTCGCATGGGCTAAGAACAGAACACAGCAGGGAAACTCAGGCAGAGGGGGATGTGCGGAGCCCCCAGACAGTACAGGTGGCCTGGCCATGCAGACCCTGGTGTCTCCCATGACGGCTGCAGCAGAGCTGGCTCTGGTGTGCAGGAGAAAGGAGGTGACATTCCCCTACTGGCCACCGCTGTGGACACATCCCCTGGGAACTCTCAAAGCAGATTCCCTAAGCCTCAGGACGGAGCCCTGGGCGACCTGAAGGATGGAAAAACATGTGGTTCAAGGGACTGTAATTTATCTTAAAGACAAGGCAGAGCATGCCTGGAAGGGACTGGGACAGTGTGGTCATCTGCACAGATATTCTTCTTATGTCTAGAAGCTCTTGACAGTGAACAGAGCTGCACAGAATCCTTGTTTTCTTTGGGACTCCATAAAGTTTAATTTTGAATGGAAAAAAAAATGTAGCCTAAGGAGCCAGTGAGGTGGTTCAGAGATTAGAGGAGGCTGCCACACGCTAATGACCTGAATTTCAGTTCTGGAACCATACAGTTGGAAGGAGTGAGCCAACTCCTGGAAGCTGTACTCTGACTTCCACAGGTACACAATGGCACACATGTGCCCATATACATATACAGAACTGGTTAAAAATGTTGCCTATACACAAATATTCTCCTGCAGCGGGCTACATACAGAACAGGAATCTCCTCCTTCAGAGAGTGGCACCAGGAGCAACCAGAGAGACTCTGGCACCTGGCCTGATAGAAGCTACTAGCACTGACACACCCATGCTGGACAGATCGAAATCACTGCCTGACAGGTGGCAGCCACTGCACATGGCTGTGCTGGCCTGTGTGCCAGGAGGAAGCCTCAGTGAATGTCAACTGTCATTGTATTAAGGCTCCAAGTGTCTGCAGGGTTGGGAGTACACATGGCTAAGTCATGTGCTTAACAACCCCTACAATGGTCTACTTCGGAGTGACCCTGAGGCAGAGAAGGCTGTGTGAGGTCCTAAGTCACAGTCTACTGAACACCACCCACAAAGCTCCATTAGAAGGTTGTGTGCAGCCAGGTGGTGGTGGCACACACCTTTAATCTTAGTACTCAGGAGGAAGAGGCAGACGGATCTCTGAGTTCGAGGCCAGTCTGGTATACAGAGTGAGTTCCAGGACAGTCAGGACTGTTATACACAGAAACCCTGTCTCAAAAAATCAGAACAAAACGAAATAAAACAAAAGGTTGTGTGCAGGTAAAATGGGGCATCAGGGGGAGTGCTTCTGAACACTCTAGCTGGCTCTGGTTGGAGAGTGGCAAGGCAGGCCAGGGGGAATAGAGATGTCTTCCCTAGCCAGCCTATGGCTTTATTATCCTGTTGTTGCCTAAGCAGGAGTGGGGGGTCCTGCCCAGCTCCATAACACACCACGAGGTGCTAAAACCCAAGAGAGAACAGGGGCACTGGGGTTCTATTCTTGCTTCCTCCACCTGCAGGTCTCCCCCAAAATGGGGCTTCTCCGGTTGAGGCTCGCGTTACTCAAAAGTGGACCCGAAACACATCCTGGCTGGTGACTGGCTGCTGGCAGGCTGCGCACATCATGGGCTGGGAACGTTGCTTCACATTCAGACAGGGTCGGCACAGAAGGTGGCCACAGGGCAGCTGGTACACAGGCTCCTTGGTGGAGTAGGAAGAAAACGCTCTTTTGCAGGAGGCACACTCTGGACCACAAACACTCCTGGGATGCTCTGGTGAGTCAGAACACAAGGCAGGATTAGGTGAGGCTGGTCCTCAGTGCAAGCTTTGTCCCTGGAAGCTGGGAACTGGCAGGCCTCCCTCCTACCATCTTTATCAGTCTTGATGCTGTCTATGAATGCTTAAGAACTGGCCTCTACATGCAGTGCATGGGACCAGGTCTGCCCCTTGGCCTCCCACCCAAAGTGTACATTCCCCTGCCAAAGCTAGAGCAAGGTACAAGCTTACCCTGACAAGATAAACTGCCAAAAGAGGGAAAAGCAAAATGTGGCCCAAATATCAGGGTCCAGACAGTCAGGGTGGAGGGAAATCACCAGAGGGGAGCTTCAATCTGTCGGCAGCTGCCTTCTAACCCCTCAGTCCCTTTCTTGAAATGCCTTGGCCTTGGGCAGGCCTTTCCACTGTAAGATGCACTACAAGATTCCCTTGGTGTGATCAAGAGGAAAGGAGATAAGGTCTACAACACAGGACACTGGGGCTCTGGTTCACCGCACGTGAATCTTAAGAAGTGGAACACCTCTGTGAGCCACTAACTGTCAAAGAATCTTGTGACTGTGTAGGACAATGGGGCCAGGGACAATGCCGAGCACAGTGGGGAGCTCACAGGGGCGTTGCAGGGCTGGGAAAGAGGATGCAGAGTCAGTACCAGAGCGTCCCTCGAACTACAGTGAAGAAAAGCACAAAAGGGGCTGATGGATGCCTCAGTGGGTAAAAGTCCTTCCTGCATAAACCTGATGACCTGAGTTCCATCTCTGGAGGAGAACCAACTTCTGAAAGTTGTCTTTTCACCTCCACATGTGTGCTATGGCATGTGTGTACTGCTCATAGGTGCTCGGCACGAGCACGCGCGCACACGCGCACACACACACACACACACACACACACACACACACACACACACACACACACACACACACAAATAAGACCATAAAAGGACCTAATAGTGAATGGCCCGTCAGAGTAAGGACATTGAAGGAAAAACGGACTCCAGCAGAAGACAAGGCTCTTGACCAAATGGGCTCGGAGGGTGCTGGGGAGGAGAGCTTTGAAAACAGACAGGTCAGTTCAGAGTTATAGGTATTGGAGATGCCAATGAGAAGGATCCCAGCAGCTGTCAGGGGGGGTGGGGCCTGAGTTCCAAGAGATGCAGGAGTCACAAGGGTGGCACTAGATGAGGGCACTCACTCACTCACAGACTCTAGAAATGGAGACTGGGAGGAAATGGCTGAAGGACAAAAGGGAGAGACAGGCTGCCAACCACACCCCTAGATGCCGAGAGGACAAGCAGCATGAGACTCAACGGCTTCATTGGGCACTCTGAAAGACATGTTCTTGGGAATAGTTAGGGAAGACGCGATCAGAGTGGGCAAGAGCGGAATGGAAATCCAGATGACAGGAGGAGGAGGAGGAGCAGGCTCTGCAGCAGCACGAGGAGTCGAGAGCCTTCCCTGTCGGCCTCCCCAGGCTCCCTGTGCCCTTTGTTTAACAAGGGGCTCAGGGAGCTGCAGAGATGGCTCAGTGGTTAAAGAGCACTGGCTGCTCTTGCAGAGGACTTGAGTTTGATTCCCAGCACCTACATGGTGGCTCACAACTGTCTGTAACTCCAGTTTCAGGAGATCTGACACTTTCTTCTGACCTCCACCAGGCATGGACATGGTACACATACATACATACATACATACATACATACATACATACATACAGGGAAAACATTCATACACATAAAATGAAAAAAATTTAGTCAGTTCCTCACTTTATATCTACCATACGATATGATCCTAGGTTATTTTTTTGTTTTTTTGGCAAAATTTGGCCCATTAATCTACCACTGTGCTTTTCTAGTGCAATGATAAAAATGTTACCAAGAAGGGCAGAAGATGACATCTGAACCTTACACCAGTCTTCACATGTCGATAAATTACCCAATGTCAGACGAAAGGAGCAGGACAGTCGCCGGACAGAACTGTCAGCCCACCACAACCAAGTGTGACGGGAACCTCTGTAACCCAACACTCGGGAACTGGAAAGCTCAAGGCCAGCAAGACCCCATGTCAAAATAACCAAAACAAAAACCTATAGCAAAGGACAGCCAGGCTAGAATCCACACAATGACAGGGCTAAAGATCTTGCCTGTGATGAGTCCCATTTCCAGGAAGCCCCACAGCCCCTTCTGGAGAAGACAGGAGAGAAGTTCTCTCTCCAGAACAGGAGTTACGATAAGGGAGCTGGCTATGCAGGCCCACAGAACAGGAAGCGACAGGCCCACATCCTGCACAGGGAGATGCCAGAGCACAACTTACCATAGCTGGCGGCTGGTCTCCTGGCAGCAGCGCTCCCTCTCGTGCCCAGCTGCTGGAGCTGCCCCCTAGAGAGCCGGGCAGTGAAGCAAGGCATGGAGCCAAGGGTAGAAGTCAAGGCAATTTCTAAACTTTGCGACAGCTTCTGCTCATGGGACACTGGACCTGCTGAGAGACACGCAGACCATAACATCTAGGGAGGCCTAGCAAAAGAGGAACAGCTACAAGTTCTTGGAGGACCAGAAAACGACCCTCCCGACTTCAGACACGTGAGTATGAAGAAACCTCTTCTATGTCTCCCAGGACTGTGATGGCGGAACAAGCAGTCAAAGTCCTGGGAATCCTGACAACTCCTCCCCATCTACAAAACTCTAGGCGTTCTCTAGCTTTCCCTAGACAAAGTGTTGTGCAGGGGAGCGCCATCTTGAGGCGGTGATACAGAACTGCGCCCCCTTTTTCTCCCTCCCCTCATTGATTTTGTGGTGCTGGGGATAGAGTCCTGGACTTGTGCCTTCTAGACACCACACTACCACTCAGCTACATCCCAAAGCCCTGTTACATTCAAAACGCTGCCTGCTGGCAAAGAAATAAAACAAACAGATCCCAGCTCTGTTCACTCCCTACACACTCTATCCTCTGCCTCAGCGTACTGCCCTTCCCTCAGCATTTTTTTTTTTTTTTTTGAGACGGGCTATCACTATGTAGCCCAGGCTGGCCTCAAACTCATGTTGACTCTTCAGCCTCTGCCTCTTGAATGCTGGAAATACAGGTATTTACTACCATACCTTTTTTTTTTTTTAATTTATTTTTATTTTATGTGCATTGGTGTTTTGTCTACATGTATGTCTGTGTGAAGGTGTCAGGTCCCCTAGAAGTGAAGTTACAGACAGTTGTGAGCTGCCATGTGGGTGCTGGGAATTGAACCCGGGTCCTCCGGAAGAGCAGTCAGTTAGTGCTCTTAACCACTGAGCCATCTCTCCAGCCCCTGTTTTTTGTTTTTTGAGACAGGGTTTTTCCGTGTAGTTTTGGTGCCTGTCTGGGATCTCACTCCGTGGACCAGGCTGGCCTCGAACTCACAGAGATCCACCTGCCTCTGCCTCCCGAGTGCTGTGATTAAAGGCGTGCACCACCACCGCCACCCGGCACCATACCTTTCTTATTAAAAAAAAAAAAAGCCAGGTGGTGGTGATGCACGACTTTAATCCCAGCACTTGGGAGGCAGAGGCAGGTGGATCTCTGTGAGTTCAAGGCCAGCCTGGTCTACAGAGTGAGTTCCAGGACAGCCAGGGCTACACAGAGAAACCCTGTCTCGAAAAGCTCAAGTGTCAGGAAAACGGCTCTGTCAGTAGGTGCTTTCAGCAAAAGCATGAGGACCCGAGTTTGACCCCCAGAACCCATGTCAAAAATCCAGGAGCACTAGATCACATCTGTAACCCAGTGCTGGGGAGGCAGAGACAGGCAGATGCCCTGAGCTTGCTGGTCATACAAGCCTGGCAACCCAAGTTCAATCCCTAGAACCCATAGTGAAAGAAAGTAACTAACCCCTGCAAGTTGTCCTCTGACCTAAACACACATTCCCACACGCACAATGCACAACACACACACACACACACACACACACACACACACACACACACACACACACACACACTAACAACACAGAGAACCTTTTAAAAGTGGAGAGTAATTGAGGAAAAATTCTGAACAACCCAAGCGACCCCCCCAGGAAGACAAAGGGAGGGAGTGTATGTTTTACTCTGTGTCACACCTGTGGTCCTAGGACCTGGGAGGTGGAGGTGAGAGGGTCAGAAGTTCAAAGTCATCCTAGTACTACAGAGAACTCCAGGTCAGCCTATGTTATAGAAGACCCTGTCTCAAAAAAAAAAAAAGAAAGAAAGAAAGAAAAAGTCATCTTTAAAACTCTTCATTTGGAGCTGGGAAGAGTAGCACACAACTTTAATCCCAGCACTCAGCAGACAGAGGCAGGCAGATCTCTAAGTTTGAGGCTAGCCTGGTCTACAGAGGACAACCAAAGCTAAACAGAGAACCCCTACCTCAAAAACAAACAAACAAACAAACAAACACACTCTTAGGCCAGCATAACGGCTCAGCAGGCAAAAAAAAAAAAAAAAAGTCCCTGTTTGGTGGTTTTGTGACTGGACACAAGCTACCGTCATCTGGGAAGAGGAGCCTCACCTGAGAAAACGCCTCCATCAGACTGCCGAAGGCCAGTCTGTAGACATTTTCTTGCTTCCTAACTGATATGGGGGGCCAGACTCTGGGGTGCTGCTACCCCTGGGCAGGTGGGTCCTAGTATAAGATGGTATGAGAAAGCAGTGTGAGCAAGCCATGATGAGCAAAAACCGGTAACCAGATCCTCTGTGGCTTCTGCTTCAGTTTCTGCCTCCCTTCTTCACGCAGTGACCAGTGGGACCTAACAACTGTGAGACGAAGTGACCACTTTCCTCTGTAAGTTCTGGTCATGGTGTTTAGTCACAGCAGTAGAAATCTAACTAGGACAGTGGCTGCTCCAAAACTGATCCTCTGGGTTCAGCCTCTGGGACCCACACGCTAGAAGCAGAGCACTAATTCCGGAAGTCGTCGTCACATACACATACAACCCCAAACAAAAAGTTCTTAACGGATCTTAGATTCCAAAACCTGCCCACTTTGACTTAGATTCAATTTGGCATTTAAAATCTTCCTGAGTGAAACAAAGTGGTATAACCTATAATTCCAAAACTGCAAGGCAGAGGCAGGAGGGCTGTCACAAATTTAAGGCCAACTTCGTCTATAAAGTGATTTAGTTAAATGCCAATCAGGGCTATGTATTGTAATGGTGATTCCAAATGCAAGGATGCAAGGAGGTTCAACATACAAAAATCTGTCAATGTAATACACCATATAAACAAAATGAAAGAAAAAAACACATGATCATCTCATTAGATGCTGAAAAAGCCTTTGACAAAATCCAACACCCCTTCATGATAAAGGTCTTAGAGAGATCAAGAATACAAGGAACATTCCTAAACATAATAAAGGCAAGTTACAGCAAGCCAACAGACACCATCAAATTAAACGGAGAGAAACTCAAAGCGATTCCACTAAAATCAGAAACAAGACAAGGCTGTCCACTCTCCCCATATTTATTCAATATAGTACTTGAAGTTTTAGCTAGAGCAATAAGACAACGAAAGGAGATCATGGGAATACAAATTGGAGAGGAAGAAGTCAAACTTTCGCTATTTGCGGATGATATGATAGTATACATAAGTGACCCCAAAAATTCTACCAGGGAACTCCTACAGCTGATAAACTCCTTCAATAAAGTGGCAGGATACAAGATCAACTCAAAAAATCAGTAGCCCTCCTATACACAAATGATAAAAGGGCTGAGAAAGAAGTCAGAGAAACATCACCCTTTACAATAGCCACAAATAATATAAAATACCTTGGGATAACACTAACTAAACAAGTGAAGGACCTTTTTAATAAAAACTTCAAATCTCTAAAGAAAGAAATTGAAGAAGATATCAGAAAATGGAAGGATCTCCCATGCTCATGGATAGGTAGGATTAACATAGTAAAAATGGCAATCTTACCAAAAGCAATCTACAGATTCAATGCAATCCCCATCAAAATCCCAACACAATTCTTCACAGACTTGGAAAGAACAATACTCAACTTCATATGGAAAAACAAAAGACCCAGGATAGCTAAAAGAATCCTATATAATAAAGCAACCTCTGGAGGCATCACCATCCCTGATCTCAAGCTCTACTATAAAGCTATAGTAATAAAAACAGCTTGGTACTGGTATAAAAACCGACATACAGACCAATGGAATCCAATTGAAGACCCTGACATTAATTCATGCACATATGAACACCTGATTTTTGACAAAGAAGCCAAAACTATACAATGGAAAAAAGAAAGTATCTTCAACAAATGGTGCTGGCATAACTGGATGTCAATATGTAAAAGATTACAAATAGATCCATATCTGTCACCATGCACAAAACTGAAGTCCAAGTGGATCAAAGACCTCAACATAAATCCAGTTACACAGAACTTGATAGAAGAGAAAGTAGGAAGTACTCTTGAACGCACTGGCACAGGAGACCACTTCCTAAATATAACACCAGTAGCACAGACACTGAGAACAACAATTAATAAATGGGACCTCTTGAAACTGAGAAGCTTTTGTAGGGCAAAAGACATGGTCAATAAGACAAAAAGACAGCCTACAGAATGGGAAAAGACCTTCACCAATCCCACATCTGACAGAGGGCTGATCTCCAAAGCATATAAAGAACTCAGGAAACTAGACATCAAAATACTGAACAATCCAATTAAAAAATGGGCTAAAGAGCTAAACAGAGAATTCTCAAAAGAAGAATCTCAAATGGCTGAAAGACATTTAAAGAAATGCTCAACATCCTTAGTCATCAGAGAAATGCAAATCAAAACGACTCCGAGATACCGTCTTACACCTGTCAGAATGGCTATGATCAAAAACATCACATTAATGACAGTCTATGTTGGAGAGGATGTGGAGCAAAGGGAACACTCCTCCACTGTTTTGGGAGTGCAAACTTGTACAACCACTGTGGAAATCAGTATGGCGGTTTCTCAGAAAATTGGGAATCAATCTACCTCAAGACCCAGCCATACCACTCTTGGGCATATACCCAAGGAATGCTCAATCATACCACAAAGATACATGCTCAAATATGTTCATAGCAGCATTATTCTTAATAGCGAGAACCTGGAAAAAATCTAGATGCCTGTCAACTGAAGAATGGATTAAGAAAATGTGGTACATATACACAATGGAGTACTACTCAGCAGAGAAAAACAATGACAGCATGAAATTTGCAGGCAAATGGATGGAACTAGAAAATATCATCCTGAGTGAGGTAACCCAAACCCAGAAGGTCAAACATGGTATGTACTCACTCATAAGTGGATACTAGATATAAAGCAAAGAACAATCAGACTGCAACCCACAGAACCAGGGAGGCTACATAGTAGGGGGGACCCTAGGATGACTGTGGCTTATAATAAGTTTTGGTTTTACTCAGTCACTGGGCAAACTTCAGTGAAACATTTCACTATTAGGATAAGAATTTGTACTGTATCAAGCTGATAATAGAAAAAAATAAATAAATAATTTTTTAAAAAAGCCAAAGATCTGACTGATTTTGCTTTTTCTTCTGGTGGTTTTTGTTTTTGATTGACTTGGTTCTTCTGATGGTTCTTATGGTATAGCCCTGGCTGGGCTGAAACTCACTCTGTAGACCAGGCTGGCCTTGAACTCACAGAGCTCTATCTACCTCTGCCTCTTAAGTTACAGTATAAAAGGCGTGTGTTACTACACTCTAAGTTGCTTTATGTTTGTTTTAAAATTAAACAAAACAAAACTTATGTATACGAATGTTTGTCTGCATATATGTTTGCCTGGTTCCCACAGAGGCCAGAAGAGGGAGTCAGATTCCCTGGAACTGGAGTTACAGATGATTGTCAGCTGCCATGTAGGTGCTGAGAACTGAACCTGGATCCTCTGAAAGAACAGCTAGTGCTACTTACTGCTGAGCCATCTCTCCAGGCCCACATGCCAAGTTCTATTTTTCAAAACATACTATAAGAGACCTAGAGACAACTTTCCTAATTAAGGCACCAGAACTTCTGTTCAGGTGGTGTCAGATGAAATGATACTTTATATTTTTTATTTATTTCCCTGTGTACACGTGTGTACACGGCTATGTGGGTTTATGTGTACTACTTGTATGCAGGTGCTGGCGGAAGCCAGAGGGCGTCAGGCCCATGGGACTGCAGTTACAGGAGGTTTTTAGTCCCCTGATGTGACTATTCACCCCTGGAGGAACATTAAGTGTTTTTAATGGGTAAGTCATCTCTCCAGTTGCAATATTCCTTTCTTTCTTATCTTCCTGTCTTTTACAAAAATAACATGTCAGCTGGGCATGGTGGCTGTACTGGCTGAACGTGTGTCAACTTGACACAGTAGAGTCATCAGAGGAAGGAGCCTCAGCTGAGGAAATGCCCCCTTGAGATCCAGCTGTGAGGTATTTTCTCATTTAGTAATCAATGGAGGAGGGTCCAGGTCATGTGGGTGATGTCATCTGTGGTCTGCTGGCCCTAGGTTCTACTAGAAGGTGGGCTGAGCAAGCCACGGGGAACAAAGCAGTAAGATCCCATCTACTACCTCTGCATCAGCTCCTGCCTCCAGGTTCCTGCCCTGCTTGAGTCCCTGTCCTGACTTCCTTCAGTGATGAACAGCAATGCTGAGGGATAAGCCAAATAAACCCTTTCCTCCTCAACTCGATTTTTGGTCATGATGTTTTGTCACACTAATACAAACTCTAAGACAATGGCGCATGCCTTTAATCCCAGCACTTGGGAGGCAGAGGCAGTCAGATTTCCAAGTTCAAAGCCAGCCTGGTCTACAGAGCAAGTTCCAGGATAGCCAGGGCTATACAGAGAAACCATGTCTCGAAAACAAAACCAAATCAAAACAAACAAACAACAATAACAACAAATGAATAACATGTCTTGTCAGTCTGAAAAGTTACACTAGACATTTCCAGGTTCAGAAGTTTCCAAAGCCAGCCCGGGCTGCTCTGCTCAGGGGGCAGGACTGCGGCTTCCAGGAACCACTGGTGATGGCAGAGGGGAAAGGCGGGAAGCTAGGCAGCTTAAATCTCACACTCACAAACAATACAACTCACTCTCACATTTACTGAGCATGTTTTCTTCCTGAGAGGCAGGCCTCCAACTTCACGTTTTTCCACTTCTCAGTGTGTTGGAGCACTTCGTGGATACGTGCAACAGAGAAAACCACAATGCATTTCCATCAATCTCCTCTGGGAAGACTAGACATAGTACCCCAAAGGTGTCTAGACACATGACATATAGAAGATTCCAAAGAAGAAGACATGGTCTGCTTTAAGGGAGCCTACTGTTTCTCCTTCCAGCAGGTCTGAATGGAGGATTTGAAACAGGAAAAGCATTGATCTTGCCAGGGGACACAAAGCAGGTAAGTCCAGCAATGGGACGATTACTGGATGAAGGCACAAAGCACGATGACAGAACTCAGATGTGGCGGCTTCCACCTGTAGCCTCAGCACTCAGAGACCGAGACAGGAAGATCAACACAATCCAACACCAGTCAGGGCTACACAGTGAGCTTTAAAAAAGCCTGAGCTACAGAGTGAAACCCTCTTTCTCTCAAAATAAATAAATAAAATAAATAAAAATAAAATTTAGCTGGGTGGTGGCGATGGTGGCGCACGACTTTAATGCCAGCCTTCAGGAGGCAGAGGCAGGCAAATCTCTGAGTTCAAGGCCAGCCTGGTCTACAGATCGAGTTCCAGGACAGGCTCCAAAACTACATAGGGAAACCCTATTTCCCTAGGGTTTCCTATATATAAGTAAACAAACAAATAAACAAAACTTTAAAAAGAAAAAAGAAATCTCAGAATAATAAGAGAACACAGGCAACCCTTTGGGACTTCCAGATTATCTACGGACCAAGAACAAAACTGAGATACCCTACAAAAACGAGAAGGAAGAAGTATGGCCCCCAACTTCACAGATGTAAGTAGTAAAGCATAAAGCCAAGGACAGTGGCATCACATCAGCAGGAAGGGCAGGGATGACAGAGTCATGACACGGAAGAGTTACCTGCTGAACAGTCCATATCTGTCAGGGCGGGCTCACTGGGGACTTTCATCTTCTTGGCAGTAGGCTCTGAGGTAGTGGGTGAGAGCAGAGGGCTGGGAGCAGAGGAAGAAGCATCCATGCCAAGGCTGTAGTCTGAGCTGTGTTCAGCCTGCTCCGGCTTCCTTTTCCTTGAGGGCAGGGTAATGATAGAAGGGGTCATTGCTGATGTAGTTTGTGCTCTCCCAAGCAGGTGGCAGCCAGAAACAGAATGCTGGAGGAGGAAACGGTCGATCCGGGCCTTCAGGGAAGGATGAGGTAGGGGCTGGGACTGTGGGGTAAAGGCTAATCCTGTGAAAGGGTCACTGGGCACTCGGCCCCAAGTAGCTTCACTGAGGTTACACTTCTCCAAAGTGCTCTGGTCAATGACCTTTCCTGAGGGAAGCAGCATGGGACATGGCATGATCTCCAGGGTGATAGGATCTAGGAACTCCTCTGGCACATCATTAACCATCTCAGACATCTCCTGTAAGACACAGGGAGCCTGCTGGCCCTCAGATTGACCCTCAGGGTCACAGTCACTCTCCATGGGCAAGACCGGAGTGTGCAGACCCAAGTCCTTAGGCATGCTTTCTGATGCTATCAACAAGACACTATTTATCACCTCCTGAGAGCAGGTCTTGGCTGGCTGACCCCACACCTCTAAACGCTTTATGCAAGAGACGCCACTGCCTGTCACATGGGTGATTCCGATCTTGAGGTGGGCCACGTGGCTAAGGGAAAGAGCCCCTTTATTCCATAGTTCCTGGGCTACAACAGCAGGAGAGAGGAGTGTGACTTCCATTGGGCTAAAAGGTGGCCTGGCCTTGAAGCCCCTGTGGCTGAACACCACGTGGTTCTGGTTTTTCAGTAAGACTTTGCCTACCAAGGTGAATGCCTCCTTGTCTGGGACAGATAGCTCCATCGGGTCTGTAGTCCAGCACTCATGTGAATCCCGAGAGGCTCTGCTAGATAAGGCAGATGTGTATAATTCCAGGCCAGTGACATTCTGACATCCCCCAGCTGTGAGATCTATGTTAATCCTACAGATTTCCACATTAAAGGGAAAGGAAACTGTCACATAGACTGGTGGTCTAATGAAATACTCTGTCCTAAAGCCATGGCTTCTCTTTATGAGGTCTTCAGAGATGAGGTTTTCTACTTCATAACCATCAGCTGACACCTACATTTAATGACAAAGAGGAGACACTGATCCAAATGAAGACAACGGGTTTTCAAGAACTTGTCACTTACAAAAATACTTTTTATATTTATTTATTTTTATTTTCTGTATAGGGGTGTTTTGCCTGCTTGCATGCCTGAGCACCACATGCATGCAGTGCCCACTGCGGCCAGAAGAGGGCGTCAGATCCCCTGGAACTGAAGTTCTAGATGGTCGTGAGCCACCATGTGGATGCTGGAAATTGCATCTGGGTCCTCTGGAAAAACAGCCAGCACTCTTAACACGGAGCCATCTCCCCAGTCCCATAAAATTTCATTTTGAAGAAAACCTTAAGTTCTTAATTTTTTTCTTTCTGAGACTGGGTTTCTCTGTGTAACCCTGGTTGTCCTCGCTCTGTAGACCAGGCTGGCCTCGAACTCAGAGATTCGCCTGCTTCTGCCTCCCAAGTGCTGGGATTAAAGGTGTGTGCCACCACTACCACCCAGCTAAGTTCTTAATTTTTTTTTCTTTTTTTCTTTTTCGAGACAGGGTTTCTCTGTGTAGCTTTGCGCCTTTCCTGGGACTCACTTGGTAGCCCAGGCTGGCCTCGAACTCACAGAGATCCACCTGGCTCTGCCTCCCGAGTGCTGGGATTAAAGGCGTGCGCCACCACTGCCCGGCCTAATTTTTAAATTATATCTATTAAACTGAATTATCTCAAGTTTTTGGAGGCATTCAAGATCATGCCAAAGGCTGAAAGTAAATGTCCCCACGCATGACTCACTATTAAAAATATGAGCAACAGGCCAGGTACCATGCTGTATATCTATAATCCAAGTACTTGGGAGGTAAAGCAGAATGATCAGGAATTCAAGATCAGCCTCAACTACTTAGCAAGTCAGAGGCCAGCCAGGGCTCCATGAGACACTTGTCTCAAACAAGCAAAGCGAAACAACAGCACACAGTACTGGTGTGGTGCTTCACACCAGCAAATCCCCACTCTTGGGAGGTTGATTCCTGGTGTGAACGAACAGTTTAAGGTCATCCTTGACTATATAGTGACTGCAGGCCAGCCTGGGCTGCATGAGACTCTTAAGACAAACAAACAAACAAACAAACAAACAAACCAAGGTCTGGAGAAATGTCTCAGTGGTTAAGAGTCCTTGCTGTTCTTTCAGAAAGGACCGAGGTCCAGTTCCCAGTACCTGGCTGGTCTTAACCTCACAGATTCTTATCCCTCTTTGCCTCCCCCTGCTAAGATTAAAGCTATTCGCCACAACATTCGGCAAAAGTAAATGAATTAAAGTAAAACAAACAACAAGGCAACAGAAAGCATGAGAGGGAGGGGGAGGGAGGGGAAGGAGGAGAGAGGGAGGGGGGAAGGAGGGGGAGGGAGGGGAAGGAGGAGAGAGGGAGGGGGGAAGGAGGGGGAGGGAGAGAGGGAGGAGGGAGGAGGAGGGAGGAGAGAGGGAGGGGGGAGGAGGAGGGAGGAGAAAGGGAGGGAAGGAGGGAAGGAGGGAGAGAGGGAGGGGGGAGGAGGAGGGAGGGAGGGAAAGGGAGCAATGGAGCGACCGAGTCTACTCTGCTATGACTGGATAGGATATTGATCCACCGAGAGGAGCGAGCACAAACAAGTCAGAGAGCACCTCGCAGCAGTCAGTGCTGAGACTCCTTCCAGTGACTGCCTAATTCTTGTCTAAATGCTGTCTGCTGGAATCCAAGGGGGAAAGTGCAGTGAGCCTAAACCAAGGCCACATACACAAAGCAGGAAATAGGGAGAAGTATGAAGACTATATTGTATATTTATGTATATATATTTGGTTGGTTTACCTTATTGCAGTGAATTCTTGGTCTGAACTGTGGGAGGCAAAGATTTATTACCATCTTTGTGGCTGAAAGAATAGCTTCCAGGCATCAGAAACAGCCTTTAAAAAAAAGTGAAACTTAATATTAGCCAGACACATTAAAATTCAGCTTTAAAGCCAGAAATAATGGCACAAGCCTTTGATCCCAACACTTGGGAGGCAGAGGCAGGTGTATCTCTGTGAGTTCAAGGCCAGCCAGAGCTACACAGAGAAACCCTGTCTTAAAAAAGCAAAAATAAGTAAATATCAGTTTTGAACTTTAAGAAGCTGAATCTAAGAGAGAGCAAATAGGGCAGAAGCAGAACTTCTAGTACATTCTCCCAGTCCACACCATTTCCCTTGTATCCTACTGATGCTGGGGAAGATGCTCACTGAAAAGTTAAGAAGGCAATTTTCTTTCCTTTTTTAAAAAAATATTTTATTTACTGTGTATGTGTGTGTCTGAGTGTATGTCTGCACCATGGGTGTGCAGGAACCCAAAAAGGTCAGAAGAAGCTTCAGGTCCCCTGGGACTGGGGTTACAGAAGGTTGTGAACCACTATGTGGGTGCTGGGACTGAACCCAAGTCCTCTGCACCAGTGTGCTTAGCTGCTGAGCCATGTCCCCAGGCTTGGGAAGGCAATTTTCTGATGTAAGTTCTCCAGGTTGGCAAAGCACATCATTCTGCAGAGGCTCCCATAGGAAGGAGATAGTATACAAGCAGCAGAGGACAAGAAGGGCGTGTGTGTGTGTGTGTGTGTGTGTGTGTGTGTGTGTGTGTGTGTGTGTGTGTGTGAATGAAAACAATTATAGTGGTGCTGGGCACTCTTAACCCTTAAGTGGAATTGCTTCTTTAGTACACACACCTGGAAGAGTCCAAACTCTTTTTGAGGAGGCTGTGGTATTTTTCTTGGCTTACAGATTCTTTCAGCAGTTGAGGGGGCCATCATGGCACCCTCATGGCATGGAATCCTCATGAGCATGGCATTTATGTCCATTTATTTAAGTATACCAGATTCCCTTTTTCGTAACTGTGAAAACTGTTACTGTGTATCTGTGCATAGGATGTGTGTGAGGACACATGTACCATGTGGAGGTAGGTCAGAGGACAGGCCATGCCCTCCTTTCACCTTTACAGGGTTCGAGGTATTGAACTCAGGGAGTGGGGCTCCAGACTACAGGCACCTTTACCGTCTGACTCATCTACTGAGCCTTCAGATTCCTTCATTGGAGAAACTTCTGTAAAATTACATTTAGTTATGTATTGTGCATGTCTATGTGTGGCTCACAAATGTCATAGTGTGTGGGGGGAAGTCAGAGGACAATTTGGCAGAAGCTGGTCCTCTCACTCTACCATGGGGGTCCTAAGGGCAGAACTCCTTTATGCGCTGGGCCACCTCACTTATCCCCAGAGTACTCAATGAATTAAAATTAGGGAAGTTTCTCAGAGAAAGCCAGAAGTTAAGAGCACTGGTTGTTCTTTGACAGGACCTAGGTTCAATTCCCAGCACCCACACGATGGCCTACAACCAACTCCAACTCCAGTCCAAAGGATCTGGTGCCTTCTTCTGGCCTCTTTGGGTACCAGACATGCACATGGTACAAATACCATGCAGGTAACACAACCACACATATAAAATAAAATTTAAAAATTAATGTATGACATAGAAATGTGGAAGTCGTTTTTTGTTTTGTTTTGTGGTTTTGAGATAAGGTCTCTAGTGGCCCAGGCCATGAACTTCTGATCCCCCTACCTCTGCTTCCTGAGTATGTGCCCCCACACTCAGTTTATGTGGTAATGAAGATTAAATCAGGGATTTCCTACATGCTAGGCAAGCACTCTACCAAATGAGTTACATTCCCCAGCCCTGAACCATAGAAATCTTGAATTCCCTTTCCAACATATATTGGATCAAGTCTCGAGGGGAACTTTAATGGGCCCTGCCCATTGTTACTGCCTCTTTAGACCTGTGTAAGAGCCTTCTCACCAAAAGTCTTAGCCAGCTCCTAAAGCTGCTCCAACTTGGTCAACGGCAGCCAGCTCCATGAGAACATTACTGAAGCATGAGCCTAGGACAGCAGAACATGGACTGCCTTTCTCCACAGCACTTACTGAGTTGGAAGGAACACACAGAAGCTGTTCTGTCCATCCACATTAAATTCTCTTCATTGTTAGCTTCAGTGGCACCCCTTGCTTCCTGCCTGGTATCTTTGGGGGCCGTGGCAGATCATATTCATACTACTACCTGCCAGATTTCTCAGGAGTTTGGATGATCCACACCTGGAGCAAAAACAAATGATAACACGTTCGTTAATACAATTTTAGGGCTGTGGGTAGAAGTCAGTGGTAGTGCACTTGCCTAGCTAGCATGCATGAGGTTCTGGGCTCAATCCCAACCGCCACAAGTAACTTTAAAACTACACAGAAAAACCTCGTCTTGAAAAACCAAAAAAAAAAAAAAAAAAAACCCCAAACCTCTAGGTTCAATCCCTAGCACTAGAAAATTTAAAATAGAGAAAAATAATTTAGTTGCTATATATGATGGTTTGAATGAGAATGCCCCCACAGTCACTTATGTTTGAATGGTTGGTCCCCAGTACTGGAACTGTTTAGGAAGGATTGATGGAGGTGGGTGTCACTGGAGGAGGTTCCAAAAGCTCACACCAGGCTCAGTCTGCCTGTTTCTCTCTCTGCCTGCAACTGTGAGCTCTCAGCTACTTCTCCAGGACCATGCCTCCCTGCCTGCCTGCCTTCATGCTCTTTGCCATGATCAAGAACTAATCACCTGAAACGTAAGCAAGCTTCCAAATTAAGCGGTTTTTTTTTTTTTTTTTTTTTTTTTTTGGTAAGTTGCCTTGGTCATGGTGTCTCCCCCTGCAATAGAACAGTAACGAAGACACTGTATTAGTCTGCATTTTGTTGCTGGAGAAAGGTGTTAGTTGGCTTACACTTCCACATCACAGTCCATCACTGTGGGAAGTCAAGGCAGGAACTAAGCAGAGACCATGGAGTAAGTTGCTTACTAACTTTCTCTTCACGGCTTACTCCACTTACTTTTTTTATACTCCCCAAGACCACCTGCCCAGGGCTGGCATTGCCCACTGTGGGCTGGACTCTCCCACATCACTCATTAATAAAGAAAATGACCCACACACTTGCCTACAGGTTTACCTGATGGAGGCTTTTTTAGCTTTTGAGTCAGGGTCTATGTAGCTCTGGCTGTCCTGGAACTCACTGTGTAGACCGGGCTGGCCTCAAACTCACAGAGATCTGCCTGCCTCTGCCTCCTGAGTGCTGGGATTAAAGGTGTGTGCCACCACAACTGACTAGAGGTTGTTTTGTTTTTGTTTTGCCTGCATGTCTAACTGTACCACATGCATTCCTGGTGCCTATGGAAGCCAGAAGGGCATGTAGGATCCCCTGAGACTGGGATTACAGATGGTTACATGCTGCCATATGGTGAGTCCTCTGAAGGAGCAGGCGGTTTTCTTAACCACTGAGCCATCTCTCCAGCCTCCAATTTTTTTTTTTCCAACTGAGGTTCTCCTCTCTTCCCAGATGACTCTAGCTCGTGTGAAGTTTGTCAAAAGCTAACTAGTACAGTAGGGCACAAGGTGGTACAATACATTAGCTAACAACCACAACATACCGGAGCTAGATCTTTTCTCAGCTGACTCTGGGTAGTGGTCTGGCCTATCCCTAAGAACATCCCAGCTATTAACATCACCATGCTCCTTACACTTCAGCACACATGCATACACCTACCTGTTCCACAACACTATGCAGAAACCAGTTTGTAAGGTGGGGTATAGTTTTCTTAAGCTGTTAAAACAATTATTCTCTACCTGGTATGCTCTTTTTGAGACCCATGAGAAATATTTCCTTTGTTCTTGATATTAAAATAATTGTTTCCCCCTAGCAATTCAATGCCATTAATGAGTGACCAGGATCCTTTACTTCAGCTGCTATAAAGCAGGAATAAATCAGGTTTGCTGGCACAGGCCTTTAATCTCAGAACTAGAGGCAGAGACAGGCAGATCTCTGATTTCCAGGACAGCCAGGGTTATGTGGAGAGACCATGTCTCAAACACCAAATACAAATTAAAAAGGAAAAAAGAAAAGGAAGAAAACGCAGTAATAAAATCTGTAGTCTCGTGCTTAAATTTATCTTTCTCTAAAATATTTATGACAGTATAAAACTGCTTTGAAATAATTATCAAACTGAATGGATAAAGTATAATTCAATAGTAAATCATCTCTTTTGGTAGATATTCAACTAGTTAGCAGCTTCTACTCTTGTGGCTGCTCTCAAGATCACTCCGCATCAAAGAGAGACCTGACTATTGATCTTCCCAAGTACTGGGATTATACACGTGTGCTGCCACACCAGAGCTGACATAAACATTTTAAGTGGATTTCTGTCTTTGCCCCTTTAGTCTTACTTCAGTTTACATTTTTTAACAAATTCTACATGGGTTTTTTTGTTTGTTTGTTTTTGGTTTTTTCGAGACAGGGTTTCCCTGTGTAGCTTTGCGCCTTTCCTGGAACTCACTTGGTAGCCCAGGCTGGCCTCGAACGAACAAAGATCCGCCTGCCTCTGCCTCCCAAGTGCTGGGATTAAAGGCGTGTGCCACCACCACCTGGCTCTACATGTTTTTAAAGATTTCAGTTATAATAACTTGGATCTTAATCTATTAATTTTTGTTATTATTTAAAGTAGGTTGGCAAGTAGCCTAGGCTGGCCTTGAACTTACTATGTAGCCAAGGCTAATCTTGAATTCCTGACCCTCCGGTCTCCATTCCCCTAGTACTGGGGTTTCAGGCATTACCATCATGCCAACTTCCATTAATTTGTTGGGGCTAGTTGTTCTATATATAGGAAAATACACACTTCAGGGCCATTCTATGTGATCAGTTTATTCATTTTTTATTTTTGGATATTTTTGGTGGTGTTGGGAGTTGAACTTCATGCACACTAGACATTCATTCTACCACTGACTGACATCTTTAGGTCTTGAACTCACTCATTTTAATAGATGTCGGGTAGGTTTACTTGGGGTTTTATAATATCAGTAACAGTGATGGTATACTTTCCGAAGTGACCATTCTTTTTTTGTTTGTTTTTTGTGCTGTGTTTAGAGAATTTTTATTTTGTCTCTGCATTACTAGAACTTTCAGAATTCTGTAACAGAGTTGCTATCCTTATTCATTCTTATAAGAAAATGCTTCTTTGGAAGAAAATGAAAGCCTGTGATATGGCTCAGTGTGGGCAAAAGCACTTTCCACCAAACCTGACCACCTGAGTTCTATCTTCAGGACCCACAGGGTAGGAGAGAACGAACGAACGAACGAACACACACACACACACACACACACACACACACACACACACACACACACACACACCTCACCCAGTAAATGTAACAGAATTTTTTTTGTTATTTGTTTTTGCGAGACAGGGTTTTCTGGCTGTCCTAGAAACCAGCTATGTAGACCAGGCTGGTCTCAAACTCAAGAGATCAGCCTGCTTCTGCCTTTCAAGTGCTGGGATTAGAAGGGTGTACCAGCATTAAATTTTTGTTTACAGCCGGGCGGTGGTGGCGCACGCCTTTAATCCCAGCACTCGGGAGGCAGAGCCAGGCGGATCTCTGTGAGTTCGAGGCCAGCCTGGTCTCCAAAGCGAGTTCCAGGAAAGGCGCAAAGCTACACAGAGAAACCCTGTCTCGAAAAACCAAAAAAAAAAAAAATTTTTTGTTTACAAGAAAAATTTCTCTTTAAATACAATGCTTATTGTTCAACTGATATTTTTATTAACATACCAATTTTTTGTTGTTGTTTTTTGAGACAGGGTTTCCTCGGTGCAGTTTTGGTGCCTGTCCTGGATCTCGCTCTGCAGACCAGGCTGGCCTCGAACTCACAGAGATCTGCTTGGCTCTGCCTCCCAAGTGCTGGAATTGAAGGCATGTGCCACCACCGCCCAGCTATTAACATATTAATTTTTATACTTTCTTGAAAATTCTGAATTATATATATGCACACATATGTGTATATGTAATATATATAATAAATAATATATATATATATATTATCTTATCTAACAGACCAGGATATACCAACCTATCTTTTTAATTCCCAGGACAGGCTCTGTGTGTCTTGAGACCATGTCTTATTCTGTGGCCCACGCTAACCCTAACCCTAAGATCCTCCTTCTGTAGCCTCCTAAAGGTTGGGATTATATACTCTACTATTAAACACAGCCAAACAGTTCTTTAAATGGACAACTAAATCCTACTGTATATTCATACACTTATAAATCCTTTACAAGGCACTGAAAGGCAGAGACAAAAAGGAAGTAGCCAGGGGGCAACATAACTGGGTATTATAGTGTAGTGGTTAGATACATGACCCTCCTAAGTCTGGGTTCCACCACTGCTGGCTCTACCAAGGTCTTTCTCTGGTATAGTCTTATTAGCTACCTAGTCTCAACACCCTGATCTTTCAAGGTCAAGAACTTACCTTAATGCTTTATTGAGGAGAGGGGGGAGCTCAACATACAAAAAAGACTAAGAGCGCCGGGCGGTGGTGGCGCACGCCTTTAATCCCAGCACTCGGGAGGCAGAGCCAGGCGGATCTTTGTGAGTTCAAGGCCAGCCTGGTCTCCAAAGCGAGTTCCAGGAAAGGCGCAAAGCTACACAGAGAAACCCTGTCTCAAAAAACAAAACAAAACAACAAAAAAAAAAGACTAAGAGCCTACCTAGAAAAACAGCTTTTCCAGTCCTGCCAAGGAAATTGCCTTGCAACCCAAATTTACTATAAATTCTGTCCAGTAAAATACTTACAAAGTGTAGCCTCCTTTTCCAAATGTGATATCAAAATACAAACTGGGGACCTCAGATCACAGCTAAAATAGTTGGTTGCCCAAAGAAGCAGCTTGAAGCCAGATAACAATGGAAGAATGAGACTTGAGTTCAGTCCCTGTGATCCATACCATCAAAGGAGAGAACTAACTTCCATGAGTCGTCCTTGACCTCCACACATGAGCCATGGCATGTCTGCAACCCCCCAAAAATGTTAAAAAAAAGGAAGAGTAACTGGAAGAAAATACAAAACACCAAAATACAAGAAAATGGGTATTATATCATGACACTTGCTTCACATTTGTGCAAATATAGTTAATATGCACATATGACCTAACAAAATGTATTTCTTACTGTGGCTCTGGATTTAAAAATAAACAAACAAAACATTAGCCAAGTAGGGCAAGCTCCCTAATTCCAGCA